TTCAACCAGCCGATGAACCTCCCCTCCAAACCATACCGGTCCAGGAGATGCCAGAGGTACTTGTGATCAACTCGATCAAAGGCCTTTGCCTGATCCACCGCCAGCAAGTACTTTCCCCATCCTTCAGCCTTACATCGCTCCAGAGCCTCCCGGACAGCTAACACCGCTGTGAAGGTACTCCTGCCCTGGACCGAGCAATCCTGCTGACGAGAAAGCAAACTGTCTGCCACTGACGACAAGCGCCAGAACAAGATCTTCGCCAGAACCTTTCTATCGACATTGAGGAGGCTGATGGGGCACCAGTTCTCAATAGCCGAAGGATCTTTACCCTTTGACAGGAGAATAACTGCAGACTGTCTCATGGAAGGAGGGAGAGATCCCTCATCCAGACAGCTGTTATACACTTCCGCGAGACGAGGTGCCAGGCGGGATTTAAAAGCCTTAAAAAATTCGGCAGTCAGACCGTCTGGCCCAGGAGTCTTTTTAATGCCAGACTATTAATCGCTCTGGACACCTCTTCTGCAGTAATCTCCCCAGTCAAACTCGCCAGAGGGACATCACTGTCCAGACCAGGCGTGGATTCCAAAAAGCTCGACATCCCTGTCCGGTCAAGGTGTTTCTCACTCAGTAAATCCGCATAAAAGGACCTGGAGACCTCCAGAATCCCTGACCTGGATTTAGCCAGGGACCCTGTACTATCCCTCAGAGCAGAGATCGTCTTAACTGCTGCACTCTGTTTGCAATTCTGGAAAGGGTCAGGCGAGTGGTATTTCCCATAATCCCTCTCCAGAACCAAAGAGGCACGCCGATCATACTGGAGTTCCCTAAGGAGAAGCTTCACCTCCGAGATTGCCCCGAATCTCCACCGCTAGAAACAAGGCGGTCGAGCTTCCTCCGCAACCGCTGGTAGGCGTTTACTGTTTAAACTGCCGTCTCTTACCAATAGCCTTGAAAAACCTGCTGATCCGCACTTTTGGTGAGCTCCCACCACTCAGACTTACTGCCGCAGAAATCCAGCACCGTCTCCTGCGCCTGAAAGAACTCCTCGAAAGATCGTCTCACCTCCTCGTCCTCCAGCAGAGACGAATTCATCCTCCAGATGCCCTTTCCTCTCAGCGGCGTGTCTGAAATATTCAAGGTGACAGATAGCATAAGGTGATCGGAAAACTCCACCGCCTGACACTCAGGTGCCGAGAAGGCAGAGTTCTCCTTCAAAAAAAACCTGTCTATCCTACTCTGGCTATTACCTCTCCTAAAGGTGAAACCCGTGCCGTCTGGGACACTTTGAATCCAAGCGTCAACCAGACCTGCCTCCCTGACTATAGCATTTAGAAAAATTGCTATCATATCCCAGCCCGTCAGTGAAGCCTCTCCTGTCCTTGGGCCTAGTAATGGTGTTAAAATCACCTCCAAAGACTACCAGCCGGGATGTAAAGAGGTAAGGTGTTTAATCCTCGCAAAGAGGTTCTTCCTGTCCCACTTGGACTGTGGGCCATAGATATTAATGAGATGGAGCTCATGCCCCTTACGAGAACATCCAGAATCAGACATCTTCCGATCTCTACCTCAATTATCCGCCGACACGTTACCATGCCGGTAAAAAGCACCGCAACTCCGCTGTAAAGCTCAGCCGCAAGAGACCAGTAGGAGGGCCCACGCCTCCACTCACGCTTGGCCAGATGGACATCAGCCAAGGTGGGCAACCTGGTCTCCTGCAAAAAGAAAATATCAGCTTCCATCCTACTGATCAAAAAAATAAGGCTGTTTCTCTAGCACTTACAGACTTTATGCTGGCAACATTAATGGTTGCCACCTTTATCGGAGCGATGGGGGAACTGCCATTAAGATAATTGAGAGGGACTGGTTTCTTAATCCTCCTCTTGACTTTCTTGGCAGGGGTCCCTCACTCTCTTAAGAGACCCCCCAGCATCCTCGTCCTCCATCGGGGAAGCGGGATCACTTGACCCCTCCTCCTCCCCGACAAAGCCCCAAACCTATTCCCCAGGGCCACCTCCCCCGCCTCTAAAGAGGACACCGACCCTGCTGAGGACAAAACTGGCTTACTCCGCCTACCTCCACAGGGACCACCCCTCCTCTCCACCGAGCCCCTACCGGAGCAGAACCTTGGGACTCACGGGACTCCCCTACCGGGCCTCCTACTCCGCCGCAGCGGCAAGAGCAAGGGGGGAGCAGACACTGAGGGACTAGACCTAGCCTCAACCATCCCGGCCCCTTTAGCAGCCTCCCTCAGCTGTTTCTTAGTCCTGGGAGGAGGAACCGGCACACAAGGGGGAACAACAGGGGACTCCAAAGGGGGTAGACGAAACAGGGGGGACAGAGACAGGAGGGGCCACAGAAACCTCCCCTTCCCTCACAAGGGCCGCCACAGCAACCGAAGCCGCTCTCTCCCAATGCCGCCTCCGCCTCTTCAGCATCTACCCGATCCAACTCTGCTTCAAGCTCCCCCACCGGAAGGTTGTGGAGGCCTCCGGGCACTGGTTGTATGAATGCCCAAGCTCCCCGCAGAGATTGCATCGGACAACATTGCAGTCCCTGGCCAGGTGTCCTATTTCCTGACACAGGGAACATCTAATGACGGGGCAGGTGGCCGCAAAATGCCCCTTGCCCCCACACCGGTGGCAGACCCTCGGCTGACCCGCATAAAAAATTATCAGGCGGGTCCTTCCCTAGAAAAGCGGAAGAGGGAATGTGCTGGAGCACATTTCCAACCACCTTTAAGCGGACGGTGGTCGTCCACCCACCTGTCCATATTCCCCTCTCATCCTTGATCTTCCCAAGGGGCCCCATCACATCCCCATATCTGCTTAGCCAGACCACAATATCTGATGCAGGGATGGATTCATTTCTCACCAGCACCGTTATTTTTTTAATCAGGGACTGGCGAGAGACGAGCCTCGGGGTTAGGCCCACCCACCTAGGGCTGGTGACAAAGGTGGCCTCATACCTCTGCCAAAAGAGGTCCAACAATTCTGGCCGCATGAAGGACACGTCATATTCTCCAGTACCAACTGGAGCAATAAACGCAAAAATATCTGCGGCATGGAAGCCATTTCTAATATGCGGTCTATGACCTCTCTCCTGCTAAGGGGGGGGGCCCTCCCCTGACCATTTCAGCTGAACAACATTTCGCCTTGCGGCGGAAGTGGGTAGGTTACCTGCCCTTGCCCGGGCCGATCCCACTGACCCCTGACCTCCCCTAACTGCAGCAGAGTAACTGAGCCCCGATCCAGCCCCAGGGGCACTCAACATCAAGGGGGCATGACCAGGGGAAGCCGCCACACCAGCAGCAGCAACTGAAGGGGCAGATGCTGATGAGCCATGACCTGGGGGAGCCCGGGGCTGGGGACCACCCATACCAGCAGGAGAACCCACCTGAGCCGGACCCGCAGGAGCCTGGACCTGAGAACCTGGAGCCCCCTGAGGAGAAACCGGGGGACCTACTGGTTGCACACCAGAGGGCCACCATGCCCCCCAAAGGGGCGGGGGCCCAGTGGGACCACCACCGGAGGGGGAAACACCCTTAGCCAGGACTGTAGGGCTAACCTGCAGCTCAGACAATTTTGCAGGCATTATACCCGCTACCCCAGTGTCCAGAACCATCTCACCAACACAATCAGCAGAGTCCTTCTCCCCTTCCAGTGGCTCCCCTGCCTTTGCCAACACGTCCTTGGGGATGCGTTGCAGCATGACAAAGGCAGCATGCTCTTTCACCACCGGCTTAGCCGGCTTGCGGGGGATATGACATCACTTTCAGCTTCTTCCTCTGAGTCCTCGGACGTAAACCTGAAGTCGGCTCCACGCAGCTCTGCAACCGCCTCTGCCAGGAACTGCAATCCGCCCACTATCTCCTCCTCCTCTCCACCTGGGGTCCCCCAATCCACAGGCAGCTGCCCAGGGGGGAGGGACTCTGATGATCTGCCACCACGCTGTCTTCCATGATTAGACGCCATTTCCTCTGAGGGTGCTGTGGGCTCAACCTGCCCCTGCTCGCCTTCCACCAGCAACTCCCCCGACAATTCCTCCACCGAAGAGGCCCTCCTCCACCGGACCCCGCATCGCCGCAACACTGCGGCTTCTTGCAGCCTTAAATCTCGCTTCATTCAGATACTTCTCGCTTTAGGACGCCGCTCTGCGCTGCAGCGCCGCCACATACCTCCCCTGCTGTGACACACGAAGTTCCAGCGCCTCCAGGTCTGGTTTCATGGCCTGCCGCTTAGTAGACCATACACACGGTCGTAGGATGACCGGAGCTTCTTTAGCTCCAGAGTCAGCTTCTGGAGCTTGGCTTCCTCCTTCTCTATTAACCTGGCCCGAGCGGCCACACGGTCCCGGTAGGCAGAATAAACTTCCCCCTTCCTAGGGGCCATTCCCAGGTCCTCTACTGGTGGAAAAAGAGAGGCCGGTACTAGGCCCCTCCAGGGCCTTCTCCCCGCTGGACCCAGGCCCAGGATCCGCCATCCTGCCTGGGCTGGGCAGGGCACTTTAGCCCCAGGCTTCTCGGGCCTTTCTGGAGCTCAGCAGACAAGTGCAACACACCCTCTCTCAGGAATGAATTCACCAATAATGGGTGGACTCAGCTGCCCTTGTGATCTGCAGTACCAGGGCTGCTGGCCAGCGGGTGCTCCCAGCAATCAGAGACTCAACTTTGCAGCCAGCTAACACCTGGAACTGATTATGCTGGGGTATTTAAGGGATGGCCAGACTTGCAGACTCTGCCTTGGTGTTGTGTTTCTCTGGGCCCTGTATCCTGTTCCTGCTCTCTGTTCCTGTCTGATTCTCTGCTGACCCTGCTCTGATCCCCTGGCTTGTCTGACCATCCCTCTCCTGACCCTCTGTACTACGCTGGCTTGCTACCTGTTCTGATCCCTGGCTTTGTGACCCTGACCATCCCTCTGCCTGACCCTCTGTACTACGCTGCTTGCTACCTGCTGAACCTGGCCTGTGACCCGACCATCTCCGCTTGCTCCCCCTGTACCTACCTGCCCAATTGATATTGACCCGGCCTGCCTGACGACGCTTGCTTGTATGTACTGTTATCTGTGGGTGGTTGGTTTGGTTTGTTTGCACTGTATTATGTTTAGTATTGCACTGCGTTTATGTTTGTATTGTTAGTGTTAATAAATTATATTGTTTTATAACATATCTGAAGTCTGCGTTTCCCTGCGTCAGTCACACAACCTCTGGTCATACCTGGGAGCCCTGACATTACACCAAGGCCAATCCTGACAGAAGTGGCTGCACAGGGAAGCCATCTTGGCTTGTTGCTGGGAAGGATGGATCTGGATGAGGTTGTGTATTTATATCTGCTAGTGTTTGATGACAGGGAGTATGCTTATCAAACTCTGAAGGAGTATATCCCGGGATCAACTGCTAGAATGTATACGGCTCGCTCATGTTCTAGTAGATCAGGGCACAGAGTTCTCTGAGGTGCAGCCTTTGATTGAGGTTTGTGCTGAGTTGGTTTCATCTGGTTCCCCCGAATGCAGGGATGAATTTTTGCCACCATTTAGTGCAGACCAGGTAGAGTCCCTGGTGTGGTTATTAGAGGATGATGTGGGTTACTTTCTGGAGCGTTATTCCACATGTTCACCACAGACACTAAGAGATTGTATAAACGCAGTGCAGTCATTGACCAGACAGGCTTTGTGTAAGCTCAGCTTTGTTCAACCCATACTGCAGACATGGACAGAGACTTGTTGCACCCAGCCTCAGTCAGCTTACAAAAACCCAGTCCTGCTTCTAACTCTACTCCTGTATTCCCACCAGCTCCTCCAGTTACACTGCCCAGTATACTTGGCTATCTACCGCATGTCAGTACCCTGTTCCCACTCGCTGCACCTATCCTGCCTTTAACCCTGTAAAAAAGCCCTCTGTAGCAACTGCTCCCTCTCCTGTTCCATCCTCCAGTTTTTCTCTGTCTCCAGCTGCTCCATTCGTTTGCAGACCTGCGTTTACTTGCAGTGCTCCAGTAGTTAAAACCAAAAAAGCGAAAATTCTTTCCAACCAATACCATCCTGCCAGTATCCAAACCGGTGAACCTGCCTTCCGTGGTTCAGCCTGAAGCCTCTACTCAGCCTGAAGCCTCTACCTCAGCCTGAAGCCTGATGCCTCTGTACTCAGCCTGATGCCTCTCTTCAGCCTGAATGCTCTCTTCAGCCTGGATGCCTCTGATGCCTCTTTCAGCCGGATGCCTCTCTTCAGCCTGATGCCTCTCTTCAGCCTGATGCCTCTCTTCAGCCTGATGCCTCTACTCAGCCTGAAGCCTCTACTCGGCCTGATGCCTCTATTCAGCCTGATGCCTCTACTCAGCCTGAGCCTCTACTCAGCCTGAAGCCTCTACTCAGCCTGAAGCCTCTACTCAGCCTGCCTGCTGCATTCAGCCTGATGCCACTACTCAGCATGATGAACTGATCCAGCCCGACGATCCTATTAGGCCAGTTGACTCGATGCCCGCTGTTGATCCAGATGATCCGGTACCTGATCCAGTGCCCGCTGTCGTGCCAATTGACTCAGAGCCGCGCTGTCATACCTGGTGACCCGGTGCCCACTGCCTTGCCAGATGACGCGGTGCCCGCTGGCAAGCCAAATGACCTGATGCCTGGTGACCCAGTGCCCGCTGTCATACCTGGTGACCCGATGCCCGCTGTCGAGCCAGACAATCCGAGTTACCTGATGCCCCGGTGCCCACTGTCGTGCCTGTTGACTCGGAGCCCACTGTCTTGCCAGATGACCCGGTGCCCGCTGTTTGCCCGCCAGTGACTCGGTGCCCGCAGTCTTGCCAGACGACTCGGTGCCCGCAGTCTTGCCAGACGACTCGGTGCCCGCAGTCCTTGCCAGACGACTCGGTGCCCGCTGTCTTGCCAGACGACTCGGTGCCCGCAGTCTTGCCAGTTGACTCGATGCTCGCTGTTGCCAGACGACTCGGTGCCCGCTGTCTTGCCAGACGACTCGGTGCCCGCAGTCTTGCCAGTTGACTCGATGCCCGCTGTTCCGCCAGTTGACTCGATGCCCGCTGTTCCGCCAGTTGACTCGGTGCCCGCTGTTTGCCGCAGTTGACTCGGTGCCCGCAGTCTTGCCAGACGACTCGGTGCCGCCGCAGTCTTGCCAGACGACTCGGTGCCCGCAGTCTTGCCAGACGACTCGGTGCCCGCAGTCTTGCCAGTTGACTCGATGCCCGCTGTTCCGCCAGACGACTCTGTGCCCGCAGTCTTGCCAGTTGACTCGATGCCCGCAGTGTTCCGCCAGTTGACTCTGATGCCCGCTGTTCCGCCAGTTGACTCGATGCCCGCTGTTCCGCCAGTTGACTCGGTGCCCGCAGTCTTGCCAGACGACTCGGTGCCCGCAGTTGCCAGTTGACTCGGTGGCGCCCGCAGTCTTGCAAGTTGACTCGGTGCCCGCAGTCTTGCCAGACGACTCGGTGCCCGCAGTCTTGCCAGGGACCGGGACTCGGTGCCCACTTTCCGTGCCTGGTGACTCGGTGCCCGCCGCTTCGTCTGGGGGCCGAGACCTGTTGCTCCGCCGGGGGCCCGAGACCTGTCGCTCGCCTGGGGGTCTGGCGCCCGCCACTCCGCCTGAGGGCCCGAGACTGAGACCTGTTGCTCCACCTGGGGGTCCGGCGCCCGCCGCTCCGCCTGAGGGCCCGAGACCTGTCGCTCCATCTGGGGTCCCGGCGCCCGCCGCTGAGGGCCCGCCTGAGGGCCCGAGACCTGTCGCTCCGCCTGGGGGGCCCGAGACCTGTCGCTCCACCTGGGGGTCCGGCGCCGCCGCTCCGCCTGAGGGCCCGAGGAGACCTGTCGCTCCGCCTGGGGGTCCGCGCCCGCCGCCTCCGCCTGAGGGCCCGAGACCTGTCGCTCCGCCTGGGGGCCCGAGACCTGCGCCGCTCCACCTGGGGGTCCGGTGCCCGTCCGCTCCGCCTGAGGGCCCGAGACCTGTCGCTCCACCTGGGGGTCCGGCGCCCGCCGCCCGCCTGAGGGCCCGAGACCTGTCGCTCCATCTGGGGGTCCGGCGCCCGTCGCTCCGCCTGGGGGCCGAGATGACCTGTCGCTCCACTTGGGGGTCCGGCGCCCGCCGCTCCGCCTGGGGGCCCGAGGACCTGTCGCTCCATCTGGGGGTCCGGCGCCCGCCGCTCCGCCTGAGGGCCCGAGACCTGTCGCTCCGCCTGGGGTCCGAGACCTGTCACTCCATCTGGGGGTCCCGCCCGCGCTCCGCCGCCCTGCCCGCCCCTCCTGGGGCCCGATGCCTGTGCATGGGGGCCCCTGTCGCCCCGCCTGGGGGCCCGATGCCTGTCGCCCCGCCTGGGGGCCCGATGCCCTGTCGCCCCTCCTGGGGGCCCCGGCGCCCTGCCGCTCTGCCTGGGGGCCCGGCGCCCGCCCCGCCGATGGGGCCCGATGCCCGGTCGCCCCGCCTGGGGGCCTGATGCCTGTCGCCCCTCCTGGGGGCCCGGCGCCCGCCGCTCTGCCTGGGGCCCGGCGCTGTCGCCCGCCTGGGGACCCGATGCCTGTCGCCCCGCCCGGGGGCCCGATGCCTGTCGCCGCCGCCCGGGGGCCCGGTGCCTGCCGCCCCCGCCCGGGGGCCCGGTGCCTGCCGCCCCGCCCGGGGGCCCGGTGCCTGCTGCTCCGCCCGGGGGCCCGGTGCCTGCCGCTCCGCCCGGTGGCCCGCTGCCCTGCTCGCTTCGCCTGTAATCCGATGTGCCTCTGCCTCGGAGTCCCAGCCCGATGTGCCTCTGCCCGGAGTCCAGCCCGATGTGCCTCTGCCCGGAGTCCAGCCCGATGTGCCTCTGCCCGGAGTCCTGCCCGATGTGCCTCTGCCCGGAGTCCTGCCCGATGTGCCTCTGCCCGGAGTCCAGCCCGATGTGCCTCTGCCCGGAGTCCAGCCCGATGTGCCTCTGCCCGGAGTCCAGCCCGATGTGCCTCTGCCCGGAGTCCAGCCCGATGTGCCTCTGCCCGGAGTCCAGCCCGATGTGCCTCTGCCCGGAGTCCAGCCCGATGTGCCTCTGCTGCCCGAGTCCTGCCCGATGTGCCTCTGCCCGGAGTCCTGCCCGATGTGCCTCTGCCGGAGTCCTGCCCGATGTGCCTCTGCCCGGTGTGCCCTTGCCCGATGTGCCTCTGCCCGGTGTGCCCCTGCCCGGTGTGCCGCTGCCCGGAGTCCTGCCCGGAGTCCTGCCGGTGTGCCAGTCTTTGATATCCCGCCAGTTACCAGACCCGGGCGGTGGAACATTTTGCCCAGCTAGGACTGTTTGGAGCGTCCTGAGGCCGCTCCTTGAGGGGGGGGTACTGTCAGGAATGGACTAGCCAGCAATGGTGGGACTCACCTGCCTTTTGATCTGCAGTACCAGGGCTGGCCAGCGGGTGCTCCCAGCAATCAGAGACTCAACTTTGCAGCCAGCTAACACCTGGAACTGATTATGCTGGGGTATTTAAGGGATGGCCAGACTTGCAGACTCTGCCTTGGTGTTGTGTTTCTCTTGGGCCCTGTATCCTGTTCCTGCTCTCTGTTCCTGTCTGATTCTCTGCTGACCCTGCTCTGATCCCTGGCTTGTCTGACCATCCCTCTGCCTGACCCTCTGTACTACGCTGCCTGCTACCTGTTCTGATCCCTGGCTTGTGACCCTGACCATCCCTCTGCCTGACCCTCTGTACTACGCTGCTTGCTACCTGCTGAACCTGGCCTGTGACCCCGACCAATCTCCGCTTGCTCCCCTGTACACTACTGCCCAATTGATATTGACCGGCCTGCCTGACGACGCTTGCTTGTATGTACTGTTATCTGTGGGTGGTTGGTTTGGTTTGTTTGCACTGTATTATGTTTAGTATTGCACTGCGTTTATGTTTGTATTGTTAGTGTTAATAAAATTATATTGTTTATAACATATCTGAGGTCTGCGTTTCCCTGCGTCAGTCACACACCCTCGGTCACACCTGGGAGCCCTGACAAGGTCATTCATTCTTTGAAAAACAGGTGGCAATTATTGCCCTTATTTAAGGAAGGAAGGCAGCAAATGTTGTACATGCTGGTTACAG